GGTGACTGGTGGTACCACACCCGCGCCGGGATCGCGCCCGATATCCTGACGATGGCGAAGGGGATCGCGTCGGGCCTGCCGATGTCGGCGATCGCCGCGCCACGCGAGCTGATGGCGAAAATGGGCCCCGGCATGCACGGCGGCACCTATGGGGGCGGCTCGGCGATCGCCCAAGCCGCGGCGATCGCGACCATCAACGTTCTGGAAAGCGAGAAGCTCGCCGAGAACGCCGAGAGGCTCGGCGCGTACCTCACCGAAAGGTTGCGCGTCTTCGCCGCTCGCTTCCCCGATCTTCGCGAAGTGCGCGGCCCCGGGCTGATGGTCGGTTGCGAGTTCGCCGCCGGGGCGACGGGCAAGGCCCAAGCCGGCGGCGTCGCGAAACACTGCGCCGAGAACTCCTTGCTGCTTCTCACCTGCGGCACGCACGGCAACGTCGTCCGCTGGATCCCACCGTTGAACGTCACGCAAGAGCAGCTCGACGACGGGTTGGAGGTCTTCGAGCAATCTCTCTTGGCGATTCTCTAAGATCAACCTCAAAGTATCGAAGGAACGAAGAGACTAATCATGCCTTGCCTTCGTTCCTTTGTCACATCGTGCATAATCTCTGAATGACTAGATCGATCCATCTCGTTACCGAAATCCCCGGGCCGCAGAGCAAGATCCTTGTCGCCCGGCGGCATGCGGCGACTCCCGCGGGGCTGGCGCATTCGACCGGCGTTGCAGTTTCGCATGCTCATGGCGCGCTTGTTACTGACGTCGACAGCAACACGCTGATCGACATGGCGGGCGGGATTGGCATGCTCAACGTGGGGCACACGCCGGAGGCCGTCGTCGAGGCGATCCGTGACCAGGCCGGCAAGCTCATCCATAGCTGCGCGCTGGTGACAACCTATGAGCCGTATGTCGAACTGTGCGAGAAGCTCAATGCAGCCGCGCCAGGGCACTTCACGAAAAAGACCTTGCTGTCCAACTCGGGCAGTGAGGCCGTCGAGAACGCTGTGAACTTGGCCCGCTATTACACGGGCCGGCAGGGGGTGATGTGCTTCGATGGCGCGTACCACGGCCGATCGCAGCTGGCGCTGTCGCTCACGAGCAAGTACGCGCTGTTTAAGAAAGGGTTCGGGCCGTTCAGCGGCGAGGTCTACCGCGTTGCGACGCCCAACGTCTATCGCGGGCCCGCGGGGCTCGACGAAGAGGCCTTCATCGACTGGACGATAGCCGAGTTCGATAACGCTCTCATCGCGAGGGTCGATCCGGCGGCGGTCGCGGCAGTGATCATCGAGCCCGTGCAGGGCGAGGCGGGCTTTGTCCCAATCCCACAGCGATTCATGGAGCACCTCCGCAAGCGTTGCGATGAACACGGCATGGTCCTCATCGCCGACGAGGTGCAGGCCGGCATGGGACGGACCGGCAAGCTATTCTCAATCGAACACACAGGTGTCGTCCCCGACATGATCGTAACGGCCAAGTCACTCGGCGCCGGGATGCCAATCGCCGCGGTGATCGGCCGGGCAGAGGTCATGGACTCGGCCCACAAAGGCGGCGTCGGCGGCACCTATGGTGGCAACCCCGTCGCGTGCCGAGCGGCGATCGAGGCGCTCAATCAGATCCAGAGTCCTGAGTTCCAACAACGGGCCCATGAAGTGGGCGAGCGCATGCGGCTGCGGCTCGAATCGTGGCGAGAGAAGTTTCCGCTGGTCGGCGACGTCCGTGGGGTCGGCCCGATGCGGCTCGTGGAGTTTGTTCGCGATCGCGACACGAAGACGCCGGCGCCAGACGAGACGCTGGAGATCATCCAACGCGCGGTCGCAGCCGGACTGATCCTGATCCGCGCAGGCCTCTACAGCAATTGCATCCGCCTGCTGCCGCCGATCGTGATCACCGACGAGCAACTGGAAGAGGCGCTCGATGTGCTCGAAGCGGCGATAGCAGCGCAGTAGCGGACTTCTTGCTCTGGGAAGACCAGATGGAATTCGAGTGATCTCACTTCGAGCCTATCTGCACGATTCTCGGGCTACTGACGCGGCGGAGGATGTCAACAAGCGCTTTCAGCACACTATTGCCCTTTCACTCAAACACTGATTCGTTTTCGCGAAGTTGCGTGCGCATTCTTGACTCGCCTCGTTATTTGGATATGACAGGGGCGCAGAACGGGTAAGGCTTTCATTCCCGTCGCCATCTTTTCTTCAAGCGTCGCTGTCGGGCAGGAAGACGCACTCTTGATTGGCTGTTATCGATCGGCCGCTGACGGCTAGCCCAGCGGCGTGGACAGCGTCTTTGCGTAGCGGAACCCAAGCGGTTTTGGACGGCTCGTGCCGGGAGAAGCCCGGCCGTCGTACGCCGCCCTTCTGGTTCTGCGCAGCGACCAGCCTGCGGCGTCTTTCGGGTCGGCGCGTCGCGGTTGGGCCTCTATTCCTCCCGGCCCATCTTCACTCCAGAGTGAGCTAATCCCATGTATCGCAACTCAGTTCGTCTTGTCGCGATCTTGCTGGCGGCCATCGGCTCGCTGGCCACCGCGGCGCCGTATGTCCCGGTGGTGCTCCCGCCGGGGGCGATCCCCGCCTTGGGACCCGGCGTGATCCCTGCCCCGGGGGTCTTCGGCAAGGAGTACTCGCACAACATCGACCACGACTTTATGGGCGGAGTCGATCCCGAACAGGTCGTCGCCTGGGACGGGCTCGGCGGAACTCTCGACGGCATCGACTACAGCGGCAGCCGCGGGCCCAATTTTCCGCGGGAAGAAGAGGTCGACGCCCTCGCCAACCACGGCGATGCGCTTTACACGAGCCTCTACAATCCGAGTAGCGGAGCGATGCCAGATACCGCCCACCTGGTTTTCACAATCGACGACGCCGTCGCCGGGTACGGCGGCCCCATCGGCCCAGGGACTCTTATTCCCGCCGTGCCGGGCGCCTTCGTCCCACCTAGCGGCCCTGTGGCCCTGTCCAACGGCAACACCATCGGTGGATCAGCAGACATCTCGGTTGAAGAGGCTGGCGTCTACGCCGGCTTCGCCGTGCAGCATCTCTGGACACCCGCGCCACTAGTCAACGGAATGGCGGCGATGCGTGACGTCGATGGCCTTGAGCTCTGGGGCCCGGAACCGGGGACCGCCGCCGACTCGAACAAGTACTCGCTCGACGTCGATGTGACAACCGGAGGCGCCTCCGTGTGGAACTATGACCTCGGTCTTGGAACGAGCTCGCCGTATATCAGTCACGCCCTGATCGTCGACGCGGTCGAATCACTCCTAGGGACTGTCCCTACGACGGCTTTCTCCAGCAGCGGCGATTTTCCGGGCCGGGAGGCGGTAAACCTCGACGCTATGATGGTGCGGGACATTATCGGAGACGACATGATCTTCGAGACCGACCCGGCCGGCGTCGGCAGTGACTCGATCATCTTCAGCATCCGTCAAATCGTTGACCCGGCCGACCCGGATGGTTTCTATGCGACCGGAAGCGAGTTGTTTGTGTTGAATGCTCCGGTGGCCGGCGGTCCGGTCACGGCGGGCTATCTCTTCCACGGCGGCCACTTCTGGGACCACGCCTATGCGATATCGGACTTGCGGATCGCGGGAGCCAACGCCCTGGCATACATCGATGTCAACGGCATCGAAGCGATTGGCGAACTCGTTGTTCCCGAGCCTTCCACGCTCGGAGTGGCTCTCATCGGCTTTGCTATGGCCGCCGCTAGGCGACGCGTCGGATAGCTAACGCAGAAGGCGGCCGGCGCGTTGCGCCGGCCGCCTTCTCTCTATGGTTAATCGAATCGTGATAGTGATGCCGACTCAAACTTCACTGCGACAAGAACAGCGGCAAATCGGAGTGGTGGATCGTTTCGAGAACTGTGTCACCAAGCACCTT